GGGTGCAGCAAACCCAACATGTGAGGAAGGAATGATGGGGAAATTGGGTGCTGGAAGACCAGTGCAGCTTGGTGGACATCAGAACTCAGAAAGGAAACAAATGGGTAGCATTTCTTTGGGCCTATCAGCTACCAGTCAATGTTTCTACTTAACAGAAAGGGAAAATTGTTCTTCTAAGATAAGGACCATAAGAATGAAGATACTTGAATTATTTCATATGAAACCAAAGGTGGAAGCAGGAGGAATAAATGAATCTAGGATACCTACCCAAACCTCCTACTGACAAATCTGAAAGATTTGTCAGTGTCTGACCCTGCTTTCTGGCCCACACCATGAGACACTGTCAGGTTCAATATTCAAATGTATCTTCAGCTGAAGCTGTGGGAGTTCAGCTTTTGCCAGGCCACAGCTGCCAAGGTTCACATACATTTCTTGGGTTTACAAACAGCTTCAATTCCACTCATGCATGAGAGTCAGGCTGTCCAGACAGGAATGCTCAAGACCCCTCTGGGACTCTGATACATCCAAAAGGAGCAGCTCCCAGTAAGCTGAGCCCTGGCAAGAAGTTAAAGCAACCCTTAACATCCTAACATGAGAACCCAGAGCTTCTGAAGAACAAAGACAAATGTCCTATATGGCCATAGAGGACTTCTGAAATTTTTGACCTTCCTGAGGAAGGCAGGAGAAATTAAACATGCATGAGTCCTTGAAAGGACAGACACACAGAATCATCAAATAAATCTCACACTTTTGCTAAAATCCATAGCTATCACTTTTAACTAATTCCTTCTCCTAGACAAGCCTCCCCTGAGGGCTGGACTGCTGCAGTGTGGAATGGGGACAGGACCTGTCCCAGGGGACATTAACAGGCACAGCTGTGAGGAGGGTGAGGAAACCAATCCCTGTCCACAGCTCTGTTGTGGTCCATGCTGAAAAAGATATTGTTTCACACTACCAAAGCAAATTCAGACACTTGCAGGAGAAATTATGAAAGAAAATGCACCAGGTCCTACTTCTTTCAGCAGAAACTCTCTGTGTGTGTCTGCGTGTGTGTGTGTGTACTTAGGAAGCATCTTCATCAGAAACAGACCTGGGTGTGGGCTCTGATCCACGTGAAAAACATTCAGTGCTACCTTCAGGATGTTGCCTTAACAATGATTTCACCCTGCAAGTGGATGTGTGAGGGGGGTCTGCCAAATGAAAGATCAGCTTTGGGCAGGACCTGTGCACAATGCAGCCATACCCATGGGAGCTGTGCCTGCCAGCTTCAGGCCTCAAGATGTTCATTTTCATCGCTGAATCTTCAGCTGCTATACCCAGGGCAATTTAATTGTTGTCTACAATTTATGGAAGTGTAGGATAAGAGCCCCTCTACAGAGAAGTGTATCCAGTCTGCCTCTGGTAACCAGATGTTGTCAAGCAAGAGGGAATAGTGGGAAGGTTAGAAGGAGAAGGCACAGCAGTTCTGAATCTGTGCTGCCTGAGATTATCTGTGTGTCATTAGCCATGGTGCAAGCCAGGAGAATTCTGTTAAGAAGAACTTAACAGGTAAAGCTCAGCTCACCCTCCCTGGAGAGCCATGAGATTTTTGCAGGGCAGAATAAAGGTGTCACTTTTTCTCTTCTTTTCTTTGTGTTTTTGTTTTGCTTTGTTTTGGCTTTTTGTTTATGTTTGGTGAAAATATAATTTTTCCTGGAAGGGCCCAAAGAAATTTAAAATTTTTCCCTGCTACCAAATCCAAATATTTTAAAGATTAAATTCTTGGCTTTATATCTGTAAGATAAATCTCATAAAAGAAGGAAAAAGAACATGTTGTGGTTCTTAAGACACAGCCTGAGGCAGCTCTGAGCCTGGGTCATTATCAATTACTATGTAGTGAAATAGGTGTCCACAAATGAGATGGTGCCAAATAAAACCATTTTTGAGCATCTATTTCCTCCTTCCCACCCATCAAATCCAAAAGCTTTGCATTTGTGTACCATGACTGCCATCACATCAGATAAATCAATACCTGCCTACTAACAGATGTGATGAAGAACAACTTGATTCTTTGCTTTCTTTCTCTATTTGAGAAGTCTGCAAGTTTGCATTCACCCTATTATTTTTTATTTTAGATTGTCAGATGCACACACCACCCATTCTTTCACTTCAAATGTTTTAGAAACCTCCAATGCTGTTCTTTCTACATAAACTCCTTTACTAATTTTCTACAAAGTGCAGAATAGTTTCTTTAATCATCACCCTGGTTTGGGACATTTTGTCCTTTCTGCACAAGTGGTCTCACACTTCTGAGTCATCAGGGCTCAAGACTGAAGATGCTGGCTCTGACTCCTCAAAGTGCAACACTGAAAGGAGCCAACACATCCAGTTTTAAAGTCCTTGCTGCAAAAATGACTCAGACACTGAGAAATCAGCCTGGTTGAAGGGACTTAGGCTCCCATGGTCTCTGTCCTTGTAACTATATTAAAAAAAAAAAAAAGCATTTCAAGAAATTTTTTCAAAACTTACGCCTAAAATTCCAGCTATGTTCAGTTATTTTTTTTCTTCACAAACCCATCCTGTGCAGTTTTGCCCTAATAAAAACCCCCGTTGATAAAATTCTTTAAGAACTGAATAACTGCTTATTGTTTCCAACAGTACCAGGAAAAGCAGAACCTGAGAGCTACCATCTGAGATGCCTTTGAGACCTGCCTGACCTTCTTATATTATCTCCTCTGCATTTCTCCCTGGAAAAGGAGAGTCAACCCTCTTCTTTCCCAGTGGAACATCTTTTTCTGTTCGTAGTTCCTCCTATATGTGAAGAGTGACAAGTCTCCAGGGAGACCACAGGGCTTTGCACAATGTGCACGGTGACCTGCCTGGTGCTACCACTCCATGGATGTCTCTGCAGAGTTAGAAAGGTCTTCATTACTGTTGTGATTATGCCAGCAAAGACAAAAACTATGGATGATGAGGTGGGGCAGTGTTGGAGCTTTACCAAGACTCATCTGTTATGACACTCATGATTTAACTAAAATATCTCATGAGCAGGATGGCCATGCCAGCTAAATATTCACAATATCCCAAAATAATTGCAATATTCCTTGCCCTTAATCAGACCAAACTAAGAATTCTCTGCTCCCAAAAGTCCTTTCAATACTACACAAGCTAAAGGATTCTCTCCCCACCTCCTCTCACTGATCTGTGCTGTACACATTTTTCATTCTTGTTTCCCCACTCCCTTGTATATGACAAACAGAAACTTACTTTTCCTCAGCCTACCAACCCCCCATCACATCCCAGTTCAGGCATGGAGAGGGTCCAGAGAAAGCCAGTTCATTACTGGGGAGAAATTATCCCCACTCAGTGGTTTCTAAGCACAGCCTTCCGAGTTTCCAACCCCATGGGTGTGTTTAGGAGGTGACAGTGTCCCCGAATGCTCCAAGGAGCAGCTCCACCTGCGCTGTTCAATGGAGAGCCTGAGCTGGAACTACTGAGACCCAGAAGACTTTTGAGGCTATTTTTAAAACTGTTTTGAACTCTTTTTAGATACTCTTTAGACCAAACATGCTGCTAGGAGCATCTGGACTGCACTCACTTGCCTACCCCCTCAGCAAGTGCATGTTCCTGCATGTATTGACACACTCACAGAGATTTTCATGCCACAGCAGGTTTTCCACAAGAATCTTTGATACCAAGGGAACCCAGGACAACTACTGCACAATTTACAAGGCTTGCAGAGATCACTCTAGTGACAGTGTTTGGGGGGGTGGGGGGCACCTCCCTCCTTTGATTTTTTCCTTGCTGAACAAAAATGAACTGTGGTAAGAACCAGCTTCCCGCAGGAGCGCAAGAGGTGCAGTTTGCTTGCTGTCGGTTTTGTGGCGTGTTTTATTTTACAGAAGACACCCTGTTATCAGCATCCACGCAGGACTTATCTCTGTGCCATCTGCTGTCACCCAGGTGCGCTGCTTTCCTGGCTTAGAGTCTCTCACAAAACACGAGCCAGCCCCTGATGCCAGCAGCCCTGCCACGCAAAATCCCCCGTGCAGAGCAGCTGGTGCCGCCCCACTCCGAGCACAGGGATGCTGTGACATCCCGCTAACACGTGTCTGCCTCCGGAACACCCCACCCCGAGCTGGGTAGCCCAAACGGGTCTCTAACATCCCACTCGCTCCCGGGTCCCCAAGGCTCCCTGAGCCCCGAGGGCAGCGCTGGCTCCGGGGATGGGGACAAGGCTTGTCCCGCCGGAGCCGCACGCTCCCCACGGCTGCTCTCAGCGCAGCCGAGCTGCGGCGAGCACCGGCAAAGGCAGAGCAAAACTCCGGCTCCTTTGGGAATCAAGCGGCTTCCCCGGACTGGTTTTTCCAAAGAGGAGGGGGAGGAAAGCGGCGGGTGCTGCAGGAGCAGCAGCTCCAAGAGATCGGGAGGGGATCAAACCCTCCTCCCTCGCCGGCCCCGAGGCAGCGCCGGGAGCGGCTCCACCTGCGGGAGCGGCGGCACCTCCGGGACCCGGTGCCGGTCCCGGTCCCGTCACGGCTTCGCCCGGCCCCGGTACCGGCACCGGGGCTGCCTGGTGCCGGCACTCCTGGGCACCGCCGCCCCTCGGAACGCCGCTCCCCGACAGCCTCAGCCGTGCTGCTTCGGGCAGCAGTGGGGGATCCCCCATCCTTCTTTTGCTCCATGGCACAAATAGTAGCAATAAAAAGGAAAAAAAACTACAGTTTTCTGTGCTGATCCACCTGGATGCTGTGAAGAGCTCGACTCTGAGACACTTCTTCCTCCTTTCCTTTCCTTTCCTTTCCTTTCCTTTCCTTTCCTTTCCTTTCCTTTCCTTTCCTTTCCTTTCCTTTCCTTTCCCCCCAGCTCACCTTTCTCTTCCTGCTCTCCCACCTCCCCGAATCTTCCCAGTGTCCACCTTCCCACACGCAGCACACTCGGCTCTCCCAGCCCACCCTGCATTAAACCCCAGAGTGTTTGCAGAAGGGAAGACAGCTCTCCCCGGCAGTTTCCAAACTCACCTGCAAAATGCTGCTTGCTGCTAGAATCCAGGGCAAAAGCCACCTCATCCCTGGAAGCCGGGATTAAATGCATTTGATTGAACCCAGATTTAGAGCCGTTTTGAACAAAAACACCACTTTGGGGAATGCAGAGCAATCCTGAACTGGCAACCCAGCCTAGGCACTCTGCCTTTTTCTCTTGGCTCTTTGGGGATTTTATTAAAGACAGACCTGACGTCACGGTGAAGGACAAGCCCTGCATTTTTCCTCTGGAGAAACTTTTCCTGCCTTCACTTCTTCATTTTTGTGTGTGGTGTTGTCCCACCTCCTGCATTTCAGTGCATCGCCGTGAGCCAAAGGGCTCTTAAAGGGAAAGTGCGGCGCCGGGGTCCAAGACGCTGCGATTTTAGCCCAGCTCCGAAAGGCTCGGAGCTCATCCCTCATGTTGCTGAAGGCGTTCAGATTCTGGCAATGTAGTTAGTACAGCAAGAAACGTTTGATCTGGCTTTACTGGTTACAATCAATGACATGACACGTATAAAATTATTCACAGATGTTTGATGTATTTGATTTTTAAAGAGTGACTTCATTTGAAGAGCAAAAGGACATTTGTCCTGCACACCGTGTGGGAAGCAGTCCGACAACTCCTTTGGGATTCCTCTCTTTACAGAGCAACCCTAGATCACACGATCCCCTGCCATGCCTCACATCCATTCCCTGATTTCAGTGTTTAGGAGCGTGCATCAGCCCTATTACACTTCTATCCTGTGCCAGCAGTGGGCATGACAAATATTGTCCAGGTACATGGGAGTGCAAACCCCACCCTGAACTCAAACCTCACCCCAAACTCTGATCACCTGTATCCCTGCTAATGTATGCCCTGATTTTAGCTGAGAAATGTCTGATGTATTTTTCTCCTTTTACTTAGGCACAGGCATAGGTTTTCCCCCAACCATTCTAAATCTGAATTTGAAATAATTTAAAGTCTCTTTCACCCTTAAAATAAAACAGAATATTATAAGGAAAATGAGTGCTAGCAAAGGGAAGGAAAGCCCTGTTAAACAGCTTCAAAGGTCTTAAATGCAAGAGTTTATTCCTGTGCTAAAATAAGTGTCAAGATAAATTTAAAAGTAGGCAAACCTTTCTTCTTGATGTGACAGGCTGGACAGTTATGGGTGGGTGAATCACTCTGATGGCCAAACCAGAACTCAAGTGTTTCCTTAACTTCTGCTCAGCTTTGGTTACCACCTGGAACTCAGGCGTGCCAGGTTGGGTTGGGATGAACCACTCTAAGCCCCTGATCCTAAGCAGCCATCCAACTATAAGAAGAATGTGGAGCTGTTGGAGTGAGTCCAGAGGAGGCCACTATGACGATCAGAGGGATGGGATACCTCTCCTGTGAGGAAGAGCTGAGAGTTGAAGTTCTTCATCTTGGAGAATGCACCAAGAAGACCTTCTAGCACCTTCCAGTATGTAAAGGGGCTCCAAGAGAGCAGGGGAGGGCCTTTGGCCTTCATGTAATGATGGGACAAGGAGAAATATCTTTATGCTGAAAGAGACTAGATTTAGATTAGATATTAGGAAGAAATCCTTCCCTGTAAGAATTGTGAGAGACTGGAACAATTTTTCCTGAGAAACTGAATTCCTCATCCCTGGAAGTGTTCAAGACTAGGGGCTCTGGCCTTGGATGGGGCTCTGAGTAACCTGGTCTAGTGGAAGAGGTCCCTGCCTGCAAGAAGGGGGTTGGAACTAGCTGATCTTTAAATTCCCTTTGTACCCAAACTATTCTGTGGTTCTATCCCAGCCCTGCTGGGTGTCTGGTGCTGTGTGGGGTTTGCTCCGCAGATTTGGCACAACTGAATGCTCAAGGCTGGGGCTGAGGGTGAGAAATCTGCCCCAGTGACTTCTGGTCACACAGCAACTTCTACCCCTTCATGTTGTGTGACGTGACATGGGCAGAGTAATGGTTTCACGCCAGCTGGACCAGGGAGCTCTAAAAGAGCAGTTTGTTTGTCTGGACAGACAGCTGCTCTGGGAGATGATTCAAACAGAATTAAATCAAACACAGTTTGATTCCACAAGCTGTGTTCCTCCTCCAGCACCTTCACCCCTACCACAGCCCCTTCCCAGGACTCACAACCCTGAAGATCAGGCTCTGAATTATGTTTTCTGTCAGGTTCCTCCAGAACTATGTCCATTCTCCCTCCTCTATATCCTCCCCTTTTTTCCTCCCTTCCTCCTCTGTTTGCTCATTCCGGCTTTTCTATTTCAATATTTCTCTCACCCTGCTGTCACCAGCACATCCTTCCTTGTACATCTTTGATATTCTGCTGGGGAATGTAGCACAAACCCTGTGATCTTGGTGTCACCCAGGTGGTGTTCACTGCATGTGACACTACTGAGTGCCAGACTTTGGTGTCCAAACCTCTAATACTTTGTGAAGTGAAAGTAGCATTTTGAGAGTTCAATTCCTCTGACCTAAGTAAAATGGCTTAAAAAAAAAAAAAAAGAATTAAAATATTTGGGTTAGCATAGGGTAAAAAGCTCAGATGTAAATCTGATAGCTAATATTTCATACAAATTGTGATTGCTGGCTTGAAGATAAAGGAGCCACGATAGCAGGTCTAGCAAAAACAACTTTCCAAATGAAGGAGGAACAAAAGTTCAAAGCTCATGTGGTATCAGACTACAGCATCAAGGGAAAGAGCACTTTAGAAATGACATAAATATGGCATTGTGTTAGTTTGGGTTTTTTCCCAAAAAACATTTGGTTATCTCCCACTCTTTGACTATTTCCCTAGCGTATTTCATTGCCTCAGTGAATTCCTTAGCGAATGCTGTGGTCAAGTGTGTCGGCAAGGATGAAGTCACTGAGATGTGGACATCTGGCTGTTTGAAGCTCCACAGCCCACCTCAGCTGGCTTGTGAGAGTTTGCCATGTGATCATAAACTAGACACTCTGGCTTAGCTTGGATGAGACAGGGCTCAAGGACAGACCCTGCAGCCCCAGGGCAGGGGTGCTGGGACACCCAGGTGCCTGAGCAGCCTTCTGATAGTGATTCCTGTGTGGGTATGGCACACTGGGGCACTTACAGGGGTGTCTGGGTGTAATGTTATTTCATTAAATCCCAAATGACAGGGACATTTCGGCTCTTGTTGAGCTCTTTGATAGCAGCAGCCCAAACCTGGGCTTCTGTGAGCTCTCAGGTCCCTCAAAGGATGGCAATGGTGAAAGAGATCACTGCAGTCCTGTGTCACCCTGGCTTCATCCTGGGGAATCTTGTACTGACTGAGTAAATGAAAAAGAAACTTCTCTGTGTAATTCAAAGACTTCAATTTAAGATCTTCAAATGATGGAAAATCCACTTCATGTTTTGATGAGTTCAGTTACATTCACTATTAAACATTTGTGCCATATTTCAGTCTGAGTTTGCTGGTTTCATCTTTCTGCCAATGTCTGCTTGGCTGATGAGAATTCAGCACTTTCTTCCAGCATATAAATATGCAAAGGTTCCATAAATCACTGCTGACTCTTTAATAAAACAAGGAAGCCACATTGCTTTTAATTCTCAGTGTCAAATTTTTTTTTGTGGACTTGAATGTAATAGTTTTATGGCTTTTACCTCTTTACCTTTCCATGGACATTACATACGCAAATGGCACTATCCATCACTCTACAGCCATCCGCAGTGAACAGGAAACAGGCAGCATGTCCCAGTTCAAGCTAGCTCTGATTCTGTCAGGCTAACGCTTTAACATCACTTCTTCCTCAATACATCCCTTATGCCTCTCAGCCACATAAACAGGTTTCTCAATTTGACTTCAGTTTGCAGTCTTCTTAGAACAAATAAACTGGGAAATAGATAGATTTATTTTGTGCTATTCGATTTGTCTGACACTTTTACTGAAGGCTGTAGCCAGCCAAAGAATACAGGGACTACTAAGAGCAGAAAGAGAGCTCAGGGAGGATGGGTGCTGTTTCCTCTTGCAGATGCATGGCAGGAATAACTCCTTGTCTGTACCTGATTTCCTTTGTAAATAGGTGAGATCAGAGTCCACCTACAAGTCCAAGGGAAAAAAAGAACACCTTGGATTTTCCTTAGACACTAAAGGTAAAGGCTGAGTCATGAGCCAAACCACTAGCTGTGTTGGTTTCCTGTCAGAGGGCTTTTTCTTCTTCTTTGCTCCATGATGAAGGTGACATCCCTTTCAATCAGCAGAAAGGCTGGGACTCAGGAAACACATACTGGAATGGAAAGGGAGGTGGAGAAATCAAACTGCACCATCAATTATTGTTGTTGTTATTGACTCTACTTAGGAGATAGGAAGGAGAGTTACATCAGCCTAGGCCTTTGAAATATGAAAGAAGCTTTACAAACCAGAGCATGTAAACATCTGTTTTAGCTGACTCTTGATAACATTGAGCACCTGAACACTCAGCAGTCCCACTTCAGCACAGGTGAGTATCTCATTTTCAGAGATGCTGGCCTTTGCAGATGACACCTGACACCTGAGTGAAAGAAGCTGCAATCCTACAGAAAGACTCACTCTTTTGTTGTCTAAAGAGTCTTACCAAAGAAGAAGATGGACAGGAATCACACTGTGGATACACAGCCAAGAGCTCCTTTGCTGCTGTTCAGCCTCATGTCCCCCTGATGCAGTGATGCAGAAGGTACCAGGAGCTAAAGGGGTAAATCCAGCACTGAATTCCCTCAATCCTTTAGAAAATGCCAGATGAAGGGATTTACCTTGGAATGTTACTCAGCCCAGATTTTCATTACTGAGTATGTATCCACCATGCTGTGTGGCTTGAACTCCTTGTGCCAGAATATTTGTGAGGCTGATCACACACCCAGCTGCTAAACAGAAAATCAGCTGGTCCAGGTAACCCAGCCTGACTGTCAGCACTCCAGGACCAACTGGTCATTTCTCCAAAGAGCTGGTGTAAATCAGCTCCACTGATTAGGTGAGGCAGCAGCCAAGTCTGAAAAATGGAACATTCAATATTTAATTCATTCATACAGCCAAAATAATTTATTCCCACCATTTGAGCAGGACTGTTGCCTTTGAGGAGACATGACTGTGGTTTCATTCCCCATAAATAAAGTCAGATTTATTAGGACAGGTCTTCAGCTGGTGTCAATCTGTGTGACTCCTTTGATTTCATCAGTACTAATC